TATTTGTGTCTGAGAGATGGGTCAAGAGTCCTGATCTGTTAGAGGAGAAAAGAAAATCCTATTTTTATTAACAAAATAGTATTGTTGTACTTTTATAATAGAGTTTTCCCTCAGTAAATAATATGGGGGCTGTGCAGAGGCCATTTGGCTTCATTAGCTATTCTCCCAAGTGACCAAACAATTGCTTTGTAAAATGGAGCATTCCTCCTATTCTCTATAAAATAGATATGAATTCTTTGGCCATAATGCAGAGGGAGTGGGTTGTCTCTATTATTTTTGCCTCCATTCACCACAAACCTTCTTGTTTTTGTTAACTAGAAAACTTGATTGTCCTATTTTGAGGTAGGTTACATAACCACAACCCTTCTGAGGTTTCAGTGTGATAGTCTTGTTTAATTTCCTCATTTTCTACTCCCCAGTACAGATCTCTTGTCCTTTGGCATTTGAATTTCTGTTTTCTATATTTTTAACCTAAACCAGATTAAACAGTCCAAATAAACACTGAGTCCAAAAGTCTGCATTCATATTATGTTATGGAATTTATTGGAATTAGCATGACTGTTTTAAATTTGTAGTTGAACTCTCATGGGGAAAGTTAGATTCAGTGATTCATGTAAATGCTTAGACAAATCATTCTTTATTGCATTTCAGAGTTGAATAATGTGGATAATGATGCATAACAATAGAATAGCTTTGCTAGAAACATGATTGTATTCTCTTTATATTCTGAACAAATAGGATTAACATTGTTACAATCAAGCAAAAATATTAGGTTCTGAACAATTATTTTATGAGATAGCTTCCAAATATTTTTAGGCTTGGCAGAATTTGATTTTTGTTTTTTATAATTTAAATGCTATCAGTGTTTATTTTAAGCATTTATTTACATTTTCACACTTGTGCAAAATTGTGGATGGCAGGTGTGTGTTTTTTAATGTTTATCAGTATAAATTTCCATACTTTCAGGAAACTCTGGGGATGGGGGGAAGGAGTCACATGCTAATTTAATAATAGTAGATGAGATTCAAAAAGTGAAAGCTTTACAGTCATTACATTATAAAATGTCAACATCACATGGCAAAATATACGAAGTAAATATCCTTAAATTAAATAACTTCTCAAGCAGTATTTTTTCTTGCTTTGCCTTACTGTACATTTGATTATTATTGATGGAAATATTTTTAATCAGTTTATTGTTAAAAATTTAATCCTTCAAAGCCTATATATTTTTCATATAACTATGTAGTGTGATAAAATGTGGGCAGCCCATAAGGAATAACATAATTCTTTTCTACAGACACAATCCAAAGTTAGCATCACTTTCTTTTTCACCTGATTTTTAAGGGATATCATTTTTGCAGCCCTTCTGATACAAAGACAAACTGCAGTTAGGCGAATTTAAGATATGTCAGTATGCCATTGTTTTGTGTGTGTGTTTTTCATTTATTGCGCTTGAATTAATTTTTCAGAAGCTATCACTTAAACACTTCCTGCCAGATAGAAATCTACTGCTACCAATTCTTTTAGCCTTCCTTCATAGGTCATGTTCTCTAGACCTTTAATCATTCTTCTCGCTCTTCTCTGAACCCTCTCCAATTTCTCCACATCCTTCTTGAAACGCGGTGCCCAGAACTGGACACAATACTCCAACTGAGGTCTAACTAGTGCAGAGTAGAGCGGGAGAATGACTTCCAGTCCTAGTATTCTATGATTCTCATGTCGTGCTCACAACACACCTGTCTAGAGAGCATGACCTATGAAGGAAGACTGAAAGAATTGGGCTTGTTAGTTTGGAAAAGAGAAGATTGAGAGGGGACATGATAGCGGTTTTCAGGTATCCAAAAGAGTGTCACAAGAAGGAGGGGAAAAAATTGTTCTTCCTGGTCTCTGAGGATAGAACAAGAAGCAATGGGCTTAAACTGCAGCAAGGGAGGTTTAGGTTGGACATTAGGAAAAAGTTCCTAACTGTCAAGGTAGTCAAACACTGGAATAAATTGCCTAGAGAGGTTGTGGAATCTCCATCTGTGGAGATATTTAAGAGTAGGTTAGATAAATGTCTATCAGGGATGGTCTAGACAGTACTGGGTCCTGCCATGAAGTCAGGGGACTGGACTTGATGACCTCTCGAGGTCCCTTCCAGTCCTAGTATTCTATGATTCTATGATCTATGTCAGGTGGTTGGAGAAGGTGCATGATGCACATGTGTTTAGGAACTCTAGTGTGTTCCAGAAGCTGTATGCCGAAACTTTCTTCCCTGACTGCACCATCAGGGTTGGCGACATGGACATGTCCATCTGCCTGGTGGGGGATGCAGCCTATCCCCTCCAGCCTTGGCTCATGAAGCCATATACCAGCTGCCTCAACCTCTGCAGAGAACAGTTCAATGCCAGGCTCAGCAGGGCCCATATGATAGTAGAGGGCATTTCAGCCATTTGAAGGTGTGCTTCAGATGCCTCCTCACCCATCTGGACCTCAGGGAGCACAACATTCCACATGAAGTCCTGCACAACGTGTGTGAGAGGAAGGGGGAAGCATTCCTGTCAGGGTGCGGGGGCAGAGGCTGACCGCATAGGCAGGGTCTACGAACAGCCACGCACAGCTGCCATCCGATAGGCCCATCAGGGGGCCATGCACATCCAGAAGGCTCTGAGGGAGAGCTTCTCCCCGGGGGACCAGTGACACTCTCCCTTGGTCCACCCCACTGTGGGCTTCTACTTCACCCATAACTGCCTTCCCTCCACTTACCTCTCCCTACCTCCCCTTCCCCCCTTTCCTGATGAAAAAATAAATGACACGTTTTTGAAAAACTAAAACCTCTATTTTTTATTTGGGGTCAAAGAACCTGGGGAGAGATTGGGAAAAGAACCTGGGAGTTGGGAGGAGAGAATGTTGGGGAGGGTGAAAACCTGGAAGGAGGGAGCTGGAAGGGGAAGGAGGGGTGAGGAGAGGCTCGGGGCTGGGGCTGGGAGTGGTGCCTGGCTCTGCTGATCCCACCACCATGAGTGCAGGGGCCTCAGTGTCCACAGTGGGGGTAGGTGTTGAGGGAGAAGCAGGAGAGGGAGTGAGAGAGGGAGTCGGAGGAGAAGCAACAGCAGGAGCAGAGGCTGGAGCAGGAGCAGGCCTCATGCTCGGGACAAGGGAGTGCACATCTGCAAATAGGGAGTGGCCCTGCACCAGCAGCTCCTGCCAGGTCTCACAATGCAGCTGGATGTCCTCCTGGAGCCTGTGGTTGATGATCTGCTCCAGGGATCTGAGTAGTGCCAGGTGCTGCATCTGGAACTTGTCCATGGGTCAGTGGTGCCTGCAGATACTTCGGGTCCGGGAGGCTATCCCGGGTGGTGTTGACTTCCCCCCCTCACAATTGGTCTGGCTGTGGAGAATAAAGAGAGAGGGTCAGTCATCCCAGGCGACACTGTGCCTGGAGCCTAGCCTAGCCCCCATCTGTGAGCTGAGAGCAACAGTTCTGTCGCAAGCGACGTGTTTGGAACAAGGCCATATGCGCTCTGGCCTGTGGGCCCAGATGTTCCCGGGAGTGGATGCTGCCCCGAGACTGTGGGCACACCCGTGAACAATGTGTGTTTGTGTGTCTCGATGTTCCAGCCTCCTTCTATAGGTGGCTTGGGAGGGTGTCCCACTCCAGGGTCAGGAGCGTGGCAGGCCTCTACAGACACCCTGTGGCCAATAGCACAAGGGTCCTTTGTGGCAGCCTCCTGGGGCTATGTAGTCAGGAGCAGTGTGACACATGCTTCCACATGCACAGGCTGCTGCTCGATCTGTGGACAGCAAGGGCCAAGTGAGGAGCGCCCAGCTACACCTCCCCCTCCCCCTCTTCCCGCCCATCCCCTCCACCCCTGTATGAATGGAAATTAATGGCACTCACATGATGTTCCTTCCCCGGCCTCGGATGACGCCTAGGACTTCCACAGAAGGGGTTCTGGCTCCTGGGTCAGCTGGGTGGTGATGTGGTCCTGTTCCTCCTCCACCTCCTTCTCTTCCTCATCTCTCCCCCCCTCCTTGTTTCTTCCACCAACCCCCAGGATACGGTCCAAATCCTTGTAATAAGGGCAGGTGTCTGACTACTCCCTGGGAGCAGTGGAGCACTGGGTGGGAGCAGCAGACTGGCTTATCTTGGGGGAAAAGCATTTGCAGCTTCAGGGTGGTTCAGGGCTGTCAGGCCTCTTGCTAGCCACAAACCCTTTCTGCTGAAGTTGCAGCTTTAAGAGCTCCAGGGGGTAGAGGGATAGGGTTTTGCTGAGTGTGGACAAAGCAGGCACCAGGGCACGCTAGGAAGGGCTGGAGGCCCCCTTTTTCAAAATAGCAGCTATTCCCTGTCTACACAGCCCCTATTCTGAAATATCTGTTTTGGAATAGGCATTATTCATCATAGAATGAGATTTACAGAAGCCAGAATAAGACGTCCGTTATTTCAAAATAATTTCAAAATAGCAGAATTGCTGTGTAGACGCTCACATAGATATTTGGGAATAATGGCTGTTATTCTGAAATAGTTTTGCTGTGTAGACACAACCTTAGAGGACTATATAAATTATGATCATAGTAATAACAGGAAGGTAGCCTAGTGCAACAACAGGCATCCCCAATGCTGAACTTTCACCTCATTGGCCTCTACAGCCTGAACATTTCTATGAGACAAATTCAGCTCCCTGTTTCATTAAAACCTGGCTTGCTTCTCATATCATACAATTCAAGTATCATGTTGAAGTTGCCAATTCCACATACAGCACTAATTCTGAGTCAGTCTCATGACAGTAATAGAGAGGTACCTCATGCATAGAGGTCACTCACTTCAGATAAATGGTAAATTCAGGCACATGCAATGGTTTAAGTTGTTGGGGGAGGGATTGAGGGGTTCTTTGTTTTTCCACATTTGACTTTTTGTTTATACAAAATATTGTTGTGCAAAACATTGTGGACAGTTCTGCCATTGACTCATGTTCACCTCCGTGTCCTTGACTTTAATCTGTTTACATTTATTTCAGATGAGACTTTAGGAACATAAATCTCACCTGCTCAGTGTGGTAACTGAATAGCTGCAACATGTTTTGTCAGAGTTGAAGCTCTGACCTGTGCCTTCCTGCACCGTTCAGGAGGAAGGGGCACTGCTTGTTTTCCTGATTGCTGCCCTCCACCTCAGAACTGAACTGCATTGCAGGGGTAGGTGAAGTGTATACAGAATATAAGGTTAAATCTTGCAGTCTTTGCTCCACCAAAACCCAGTGATGCTAATGAAAATTTTGCCTGACTACAAAATTTCAAGCCAACTAGTTTGTAAGGATTTCTATAAAGAGCTGTTGTCAGTAAAATAACATGTACTGTAAATGGTGCATGTGCCTGTCTGTGGGAGCCAAAGGGGCTTGCTAGAATGTCACTCATCCCATCGGGGGGCATTGAGCTTGGAACCCAAACATGGGTCCCCTCAGAGAATTGCCACTGGACTAGTGAGTCGCAGCACTTTCTTAGATGCATCTTTTTTTCATTTTGTACTTCATGTCATTTCATATACCTTCTTCAATAAGTCCTGTCATGCTTCTAAAGGACTTCGTTGTGGTTGTGGTTGTGGCTGTGGTGTAGTAAAAAAAGCACAGAGTACAGTAAATTCATTATTCTCCCCAGGCTACATGAAATGATTACAATGAGATCCAGGTTGCTGCTGGTACTTCTGCTTGTGAGCTTGTGTTCACCTGCACCTAGACTTTCGGTAGGTATCATTTGGCTATAGTTTGAATCATCTCTGTTAGCTGATTTCTCTGTATTGTTTTCAGGAGCATCCACAATATAGTAGACATGGCAAAAACACAAAAAAGACATGGCCCCTCTCCTAAATAATTTGCCCTTTAAAAACATAAATCAGACACAGAGAGGTAGGAGCAGCAGAGGAGTGTTACAGCATGCAGGTAACACAGGTGAGAATTGGCTGTTTCTGGATAATAGAGTGTTTACATAATACAGAGAGTTGGGTTTCATTGTGCTTAGTTGGTGTGGATGGAGACATTATATTGTAAGAGTTACAGACCATGCCCAAGTACCCCACAACCTTGTTACAAACCAGTCCGTTTCTTGTAGGCTTCACTAGTAGAAGGTGGTTTTCAGGATGTATTTGGAATCAGAAGGAGGAAAAGTTGTATGGATGAGATCTGCAAATAGCTCTTCTGGGGCCCAATCATGAGAGGTGCTAACCACCTACAATTGCCATTTAATGATTTACTTGTTGTTTTTTTCTCAGTGCAAATTCCAGTTCCATTAATGTAGCTTGAGAGGAATGATGTTCATAGGGTTACAGCACAGCATAGTCAGATCTGCATTCTCTCTGTCTATGCCCCATACTTTCCATGTAACCTCAGGCAAGTCACTTCACCTCTTTGTGGCTCTGTTTCATTGTGTGTAAAATTGTGATGACAATACCCACCTACTTCCCAGATAGGATACTAGAGAAGCTACGAACTCTTTGGAAACTGCTTTGAGATGGAAGGTGCTATGAATGGGAAGCGTTATCTGATAAACTATTTCTGCTAACAACATGCCTAGTCCTATGAGTTCCCACAACTCCAGTTGAGTTTGATTTTTCCACACTAAAGACGAATGTGTGCAATTGGTTTAGGATGTACTTTCTCTCTGAGTTTATCATAAAATACATATTTTAAATGTATTTTCATATAGGTGCCTTTCTCGAGCTAACTTTCCACAACATTTAGGGTCTGAGTCAGAATCCCGTACTCATGCAGAATGATATTTCATTACATGAGCAGCCTCAATGGCCCTACTTCCAGAAGAAAATAGTTTTACTTTGGTTGAATACTATCAGAACTCAGCTCATGGGACTGATCCTGGAAGGTACTGAGAATCATAGCTCAAGAAAAACTTCAGGTTTAGCCCTGCAGTAGTCTTTACACACACAAGGAAAACAACTGCATGCAAAATAATAGCTGTCAGAACTGCCATTTTTATAATAATAAGAAAGAAAAATCGAAATAAGTGTGTGTGTGTCTCATGCTCCTTTCCATGCTCACTCTTCCCTAAAATCTCCACTTTGGAACTCAGGCCTGTTGGAATAGGCACAAATAATCACAGCTTGTTTTTATAAACTAAGTTGACTTGATATTTCTGTGAATAGTGTGAAAATAGCCTTATGAAAAGTAAACAACAGCTCTGTGGTCAGGGAAGAAACAGAGAAAGTCAGCTGGAACAACTGACTTTTTTCCCAGTGGGGTAGAAAAGCAGGAGCGAGGGAGAGCACAGCTACGTGCAGCCCAGGCAGTCTCTGGATAAGTTATGTACCTTCAGACCACCATAAGGAGTGACTGTACTGTGGAAATAACCGAAGAGCTTTCCTTCCAAATGTGGTATAGGGGTCTTAAGCAGTCACAGCCTGCTAAATAAACCACAGAGGGGCTGTCCTACACTAGCACTAAATATTTGTCCCCCACTTGCATTACATATTTATTACTGGCACAAACAAACTGTTAGCTGACAAATTAATAACTGCCAATGTCCCCACTTGCATTACATATTTATTACTGGCACAAACTGTTAGCTGGCAAATTAATAACTGCCAATGTTCTTTGTCTTCCTAGACCAGTGGTTTTCAAACTACAGTAGAGTCCGGATTATCCGACCTTCGGTAATCCGACATTCCACTTTATCCAACATAGCCGCTCTGCACTGCTATGCCGCATGCAGCCTCCCCGGCTGAAGAGGCTTCAGAAGTCTCCCGCGGGTCAGAGCCTCCTGCCAGTGCCGCTTTGTCCCCATCCCTGCCTGGCCCCAGCCCCTTCCCTCCCTGCAGTTCCCGGGTGCAAGCCGGGAGAATGGCCCCACTCACTGCCCCGTTGCTCTCCTGGCGCCGCTGATGCCGCTCCTGCCGGAGCCGCTTCATCCCTGGGAGCTGCAGGGAGGGAAGGGGCCAGGACCAGGCAGGGATGGGGATCAAGTGGCACTGGCTACAGTAGAGTCCCTATTTTCCGACATTTTCAGTAATCCGACCACCTGTCAGTCCCATTTAGGTCGGATAATCGGGACTCTACTGTATGGATCAGGACCCCAAAGTGGGCTGCAGACTCATTTTAAGGGGTCACCAGGGTGAGCTTAGACTTGCCTGAGTCCTACTGCCTGGGGTTGAAGTTGATGCCTTCAAGCTTCAGCTCTGGGTGGGGGGTCTCAATTACAGGCCTCCTACCACGGGTTCAAGTGCTTGGGCTTCAGCTTTGGCCTCCCTGTCTGGGGCACTGGGACTCAGGCTTTGGTTTTGCCCCTCCCTCCTGAGGTGGGTAGGTCTTGGGCAGGTTCAGGTTTTGGTCCCCTTCCTGGGATCTTGTAGTAATTTTTTGTTGTCAGAAGGGGGTGACTACAATAAAGATTGAGAACCCCCGTCCTAGACTGTTCACTGTTTGGGTCAGGCACTGAGCCCGGATTCCACCTCACCCTGCTGGGTACAATTGCAATATGAACAATAAGGGGGAAAAGCACCCGAGCGTAGCAGGCCTCTATCTTTGACCTTTGTGTACAGTGTATTTTCCTTACAGAATAGTAAATGTCACCTCACAGAAGGTCCTGGAACAACTTGCTGTCTCTTACTCAAGGCCACGTCAGCAGGGGACGAATATTGCTCTGCATCCAGCCCATAGTCCAAGTTCACACACCTGGAATTCTCTGAAAGGACAGTTGGCCAGCAACTGTCAGTTCTGCCTTCTTGACTGGCCAATGGCTTCTCCGAAGGCAGGAGTGAGAATTTACATAGAAAATGGGAATTGCCAGACTGGATCAGACCCAAGGTCCATCTGTTTTAGGAGCCTGTCTGATGGTGGCCAGTAGCAGATGGTTCAAAGGAAAGTGTACGAATCCTTCAGCAGACAGATGAAGGTTGATCTGCCCCTCTCTCTCCCCCACACACACATATCAAGTCTGATCCTGAACTCCAGTTGTTAGAGATTGGCTTATGCCCTGGAGCATGACGTGTGATGGCCCTTCCAAAGTATTGTTAGTATTGGGACAAGTCTCAGAGGAGTATCCATGTTGGTCTGTATCTGTAAAAACTATGAGTGACAAACTACATCAATGTATGGTTCAGATGAAATCTAAAGGCTTGGCATAGCTTGGAAACAAAACTAGACTCACTAAGAATTTTTTGAGTCATTCAAGCCCAGGCTCCAAGCAAACTCCAGGCTATGGAAATACACATAGTAAGATTGGCTAAGACTCTTTTATATATACCAGCTTCTGATTTGCTTCTCTTTGATTTTTTTTTCTTGGTGACTTTGGACCAGATTCTGCTTTTGGTGATGTCATTGTAAATGTGGAATAACTGTACTGATTCTGTGGAACTAGTGATTTCAGTGCAGTTACTCCAGATTTACACCAGCATAACTATGAGCAGATTCTGTCCCTTTATCTTTCACTTTTACAGTAAAAGGTCTGAAAAGTCTACAACCTTTAGGACCTCTGGAGCTGCAATGAAAGATACCGATTTTGTCCAATCTGTACCTTATTCTGCAAATAAGTCCACTGATTTCATTAAAAAAGCAGCAAAGTTGGGTACTGGTTGATTAGTGGAATGATGGATCTGTTCGTTAATGCTGCACTGCTGGGATCTCACTGCCAAAACCAGAAAAAAAAACCTCTTCCCCATTGGGCTGAATCAATCAGCCTTGTAGACTGTGCTGTAATGATTTTTGACAGACACAAAATAGCAGCCCTCTCTACCCTGTCAGAGGTCTTAAATTTGAATCCCCTTGCTTCCTCTAGAAAGATGTATGCCTTTGGATCATTGAGAGCTGCAGACTTTCCCTCTGTTGTTATCACTTTAATTACATCATGCCTCTTTTTTTCCCTGTAGAATAAGGACATCTGCTTGTTAGATAACAACAAATTACAGCAAAGGTTAAAACTGCTCCAGGACTTGCTTCAGTTATATGAATTACAACTGAAGGACATCTTGGGGAACAACTATCATGGAACAAAGAGCAAGGTCTTCTCAGCCTCAAGAAGCATGCAGCCTGAGATACTATTACCCACAACTAGTGGAAACTTGATAGTCTATGATCAAGGTAGGAGGTTGCAGTTGAATATAATACACACTGTGAGTTCAGGATATCAAAATATGTATTTCTTGCTGTACCATTCCATTTATAAACAGAGACTCATATTTATATCTTAGCCATCTCCCTTAACAAAACCAGCACAGGAAGTTTATATCTTTAAAAATGCTTAATTTAGAATATGTATTATGTGTATGCATAGGAGGGTTATGGGTAGATCCATGGCCCAAGGCCACTGACCTGGTGTGTAAGGTAGGGCAAATCATTTGTTTCCTTGCAGCTCTCTTTCTCTACCTACATGCCACTTGTCTTGTCCACTTAGCGTTTTGGTCAGAGACTGTCTTTCACTATGTTTTTGTACAGCACTTAGCACAATAGTCCATGGACCTTGTTTCTGTTATGCATCAGATTAGTACTGCAAAAGCATGCTAATACTTTGCAGTTGTCATAACAGCAAATGTGGGCTATTTTTCACTAGGCTAAAATTTTCAAAACTAGGAGGCCTTAAGCTAAAGTCTTAAATCCTGATTTTTGTGCTTAAATAAATGGCCTGATTTCAGTGACTTTGATGAGAGCTGATTGGTGCTTTTTTAAAAAAAGCTCGCTTGGATTCCTAAATCCTGATTTAGGTTCTTAACTTTGGACCCCTCTTTTTGAACACATTGTCCCTGATTCTGGCCTACCGTGCCCCTAGATGGAAATTATATGGACTGGAAACTTTATCAAGCTTCCCTCTAAGTTTCTCTGGAATTCCTTTGGGAAGGGCCCAGCTAGCCCAAGCACACCCTGAGGAAGGACATTTGGCTCCCAGCACCAGCAGATCCACTGTCCTTCAGTCTGTGTCTTCATACCCTGCCTCCAAAAGAGTGTTTCATAGCACTGAACAGGGGAAAAATAATGCTGCCTTAGATTGAGATGACAGTGGTAAAACCTTCTGAGTCCTTTCTACACTATAGCTTCTACTGCTATTATCATTGGTAGACTGCAACAGATGGATCCTAAGTTTGCTAATCTAGATGTAGCCTGGCTGGCCAAAGTATGATACAAACTATTTTTGCTAGAACTATATTTAAATATTGCTCTACAAATTCAACCCCCATGCAGAAGAGCCAGAAATCATTGACCTAGGACTAACTTCTATTGAAGTTTTCTCTTGACAGTAGTCACCTAGGCTATGTCTACACTGGCGCGATCTTGTGCCAGAGCTATGCAAATGAGGCTAAGCATGGAATATTGCTGAGCCTCATTTGCATATCTAATGAGGCGCCATTTTGCAGAAGAGGCTCTTGCACGAGAAGGAGCTGTCTACACTGCCCCTTCTCAAGAAGGGGCAGTGTAGACAGCTCCTTCTCGCGCAAGAGCCTCTTCTGCAAAATGGCGGCTCATTAGATATGCAAATGAGGCTCAGCGATATTCCACGCTTAGCCTCATTTGCATATCTCTGGTGCAAGATCGCGCCAGTGTAGATATAGCCCTAGTTGCTCTTCCACAACCACTGTTTTATAAAACACTACTCTTCTTCTGCTTAGATTGCTCTGCAGTGTTTAACAGCAGAAAAATTGAAAATGGATACTACAGGATCAGGCCCAGAGCAGACCGAGAACCTTTCTTGGTATACTGTGACATGTCTGATGGAGGGGGATGGACTGTAATACAGCGACGCAGTAATGGCAAAGAGAATTTCAATAGGTATGTAGTTAATATTTCACTGGTACTTTAATTTATTCCCTTAAGGATTGTTGTTATTTTTAAATTCTGTCCAACCCCTGATGGCACCTTCTTGTTAAAAACTGCTATTTTAGGCCACAATCCTGCCAATGTGCAATCGTGTATAATCATCAATAGAGAAGAGAGAACAATGAGATTTTCTGCTTGGCGCTAAACCAAAAAATCTGAAAAAAAATCTAGTTTGATTCAAACAAAATTTTTTTTGAATTTTTCATCCAACTGAAGAACACAAAAATATCACTTTGAATTGGCTGAAACACTTCAAGTCAACTCAGAATTGTTGTATTCATTTTTCAGTTTGAGTCGATCAAAACATTGGGGTTGTCTCCAAATGAATTTTTTCCATTTTTTTATTCAGTTGTTTTGAACCAAATCTATTTCTTGAATTCAGTGTAAATTCAAATTAATAGTTTCAGGGTCCCAAAATTGCCCTTTTCAATGGGAAAACAATTAGTTGAAAAAAATTCGCTCAGTTCTAGTCCTTAGTGATTAAAACTATTTGTATTATTTGTAAGGGCTGGCAGGATCGAGCCATTTTTAATCATTTCTTTTAGTCATGAGTTAGAATGATCTTGTGACATTTTTTCATTAGATGGTCCTTATCTGTTTAAGTCTTTTTGGTTTAGTGACATTTCATTATCTGGTAATGATTTTGATTCTGCCACTACCTGCTATCAACCTTTAAATGTTATATCTTCTCTCATATCCTGAAAACTGTTAAAGTACCATGTAGTATTTACCCATCTTCCCCAATATTAATGAAGATCATAAATAAGATTGGTCCAGATTATCTTGGCTGAAAGCCATAGGAAGGTGGCTTTTACATGGACATTTCTATACAAAGATCTCCTCCTGCCATTGTCAACCTGACAATCTGGTCTGTTAACTAGTGTTTGGACCAGTCTTATTTAGCATCCTCATTGGTGGTATGGAAGAAGTAGTAAACAGCAGAGCTGGAGAAACAATTGATTTTACGGTTCAGTGGCTGACCCAAAATATCTGAAAACATTTTCATTCTGTCAATTTCTTGTGTGTAATCAACAAAATGGAAAAGCAATTTGAGGGGGTGGAAAAGGTGAATGAGTGGTTAGTTTGCCCTAAGCCAAAATATTTTGCTTAGGTTTTGTGTTTTATTACCCATTTCCTTTTTTAAGTTGCATCTAGTTATATTTCTAATTAAATATTATTTCAAAATGAAAAGGCAGAATATTTCATATTGTTAATGTAGACATCTACCGCATTCCATTTATCCACTAACTCTTGACCTGATTCTGCAAGCACTGCACCTGGCAGTTTGAGTTGGGTTGAACCCATTGTGAGCGAGTGAGACAGAATAATATGTAAAGCACTCAAAGTTGTTTTGTATTATTTGTAATGTGGTGCTATAAATCCATCTTGTCTCTCATGCTTTGAACGGGATATGTAAGAAAAGTGTTTCTTTGAAGCCAAAGATTCACTTGTCAGAAGATTTCACAATAATAGCGTGATTGAGATTGTCAGATACAAACTCCCCAATTTCAGCATTCAGCATACAGGGCTGAAATGGATAATTGTATCTTGCTTCAGGAAATGGGCGGATTACAAACAAGGATTTGGACAGTTCCAGGGCAAGAATGATGAATACTGGCTAGGCAATGAGCATATCTATAACCTGCTGGTTAGAGGTAAGGGTATTATTCCAGCGTTACAACTTCTTACTAGTTGCATTACGTGGTTCACTATGGAATACTAATCTAACAAGATACTGCATTATAATCTAGAAGAAAACACATTAAAAATTGACCTGATGGACTGGCATGGAGAAAGGCGATATGCAATCTACGAAAACTTCCAGATCAAGAATGAGCAGGTAAGACATGAAGTCAATAGAAAATGTTATTGCAAGGACAAGCTTCTGTTT